ACTAACGAACCGCTCGAAGGCCTTCCACGATTGGACACGATGGATAGATATGTCTCGTCCCGCATGGTGCCCCACGTCGCAGGTGAATGGAAGACATACGCGGGGCAAGAGCGCTTCTCATATGTGTACGCTGCTTCGCAATAGCCAGGCTCCAAGTCCCTCAGCTTCGTATTTCCTCGAGGCCTCTCCCCCCCTCTCCACATCCTTGTTCCGCGAGTCTTACTTACTTACGTTCATTGATGCATTATAGGATGACAGTTCATTCTCTCAGCAGAGGGCTAGGCTCAAGCCTCGCTATTTTGGCTGCTGCCAGTGTTTCGCTTCCGCTATGTCGCCCGGGGTTTGCCGCGGCCACAATCACCTAGTTCAATGGTCTCATGATGTCCATATTCTACGTCGTCTATTGACCCTGTGGGTTTATCACAGGTTGTACTTTCCTGGAGATGGGCGGTACATCATGCTGGTTAGGTTGTATTCAGCGCCCAGTACATCTCCTCGCTCCCGCCCAGTCTGTCTTCATGAAACTTACCTAAACGGCAAAGAGATGCGGTTCCTCGCTGAGGGTATTTTTATTATTCCTCCCCCATTTATATATATTTCCACATCGTACAGACCGAGGAGGACGAAGAAAGGGAATTAGGTGCTCGGCGGAGCCATGTGTTCTTCTCTCTTTAAATGTTGGCCCTCGGTCCGCAACTGACTTTTAGTTATTCCTCCTCCTCAGTCTTTCCCATCCTCATTGAACTGTTTTATCCAACTCTCATTCGCTTTCCTTCCTTTCGTTCTTTATTTCGCTTTTCAACTTTCTCTTTTTTATATATACCCTCTACCTACCATGGCCCCAGTCACCAGCGTCGTAGCAGAAACGATCGACAACACCCTCGGAGCCGTCTTCTTGGGCCTATCAACCGCATGCTTGTACGTCTTTACCCAATCGATTTTCCACATCACTTATATCCCTTTCACCTAGTCTTTTCGGGATAACGACCCTCCAAGCGTATGTGTACTTCCACAAATACCCCCGGGACACGACCCTCCACCGCCTATCCGTCGGCATCCTCTACATCCTCGACACTCTCCACCTCGCGCTCACGATCCACGCGATGTACTTCTACATCGTCTCCAACCGCGGCCGGGGATTGGTCGAACCGGGCCCGGGGATCGTCTGGTCCATCAAGGTAAAAAAACTCTCTCTTTCTCCCACCTCCAGGACCAAATTAACTCCCATATACTATTTTAGCTACAAGTAGCCATAATGGTCGTCATCATTCTCTTCGTGCAGAGGTATACCTCGCTTCTAATCTTCTCACACGCCATTGATTGCCGTTCTCTCGCTTAAAGCCTTTACGCACTCCGCATCTGGCTGCTGAGTGGGTACCACCGCGGGTTCCTCCGGTACCTCGCGGCGCTGAGCGTCGCGGGTGGCTTTGGGATCGGGATAGGTTAGTGTTGTGATTTGGTCGCGTTAACTGCCCCCCCCCCCCCTCTGACTTGTCGTTTCAGCGTTGACATACGAAATGTACGCTCCCCTTTTCAGTCATCAGTTCAACGCTAATCATCGAACGAACGGACGATACAGATACACAGCCCCGACATTCTCATCGCTCGTATTCTCCACCAAAGCGTGGGCGATGGAGTCCTCCCTCGCGGCCTCCACGCTTATCGATTTCGTGCAGGCCTTTGCGATGTGCTACTATCTCCGCAAAACCCACTCCGAGTGAGCACGAGTTCCCCCCTCCACCACATCTATCTGATCAATCTAGTTTGAATTCGCGCATCTCCGCTGTGATGCAGTATACCCTCGGCTCTGGGCTCGTCACGAGTGCGTGCTCGTTGGCCGTGTTGTTCACTGTAAGACCCCGCTTGTTCCCCATGCTTGATCTCACCACCGGTCTTAGTACGTTCTCTTACCAAACACGCTCATATTCATCGCGCTAGAGTTTCTATTAACAAGACGTACGCTTCTTATCTCCCTATTCGAAAACAGAGTTCCAACCGCCGTTTACAGTATACGTCGGCTCGTTCCTGGGGATGCTCAACGCCAGGCCGTCCCCCGCCCACTCACGCCAGGAACCCGATCCGCTCTCGATTATGACGCCCCCTCGGTTCAAGCACTCGAGCGTGCGCTCCAGCCTGAAACACTCCATCCGGCTCAAACACCTCAGCTCAAGCTCAAAGTCGTCCCCGAGTTCTGTAAGTCCTCCATCCTTTGGTCCGCCCCAGCTAACGCGGAGCACAGAGCGAAGCAGAATGCCAATGGGACATCGTCACGCCCGCGCCCCTACCCGCACGAGTCCGCATGGGCGGACAAACAGTCAAGATGCCCACACTTTAAAAACAGATTCTTCCTACGTCGGGTACCACTAGAATTATCTGTATCATTTAGCAACTACCATGAGAACTGTGTTTTCATTTCTATTCTCATGCCACTTGAGTTCCTGTCAAAAAGAATCCTGTGGCACAACGCAAGCTACTATTCGGAGCTCCCATGGAATTAAGGTTACACCAGCGAATCGCATCTCGCCAGCTCCAATTCGTTCGCTCCGTCGAATGAGCGACGCAGAATTACCTGCCGGGGAGCGGTCTATTCGCTTCTTGTCCCTAGCCTAGAAGCGTGCGAGGGCCAATCCGCACGGGCGATCTAATCTAATCTCCGAGTCCAGGCCCCTTTTTGATGGGGACGGGCGCATTGGGAACATTTTCGTTTTGCTTCCATCATCATCATCGAGGTATACCCTCCCAGTCGTCTCGTCATCCCGTTTGCCTTGTTCTGTGCATATAAGCCGTGGGGTTTTGGGTTATTCTCTCTCTACCATCCTGGCCTCCAAAGTTCATGGACATTTTCAATCCGAAAATTCTGGATGCTTGCATTCGGGATGTCGCATACTGCCTTTCAGATAACCAAAAGGCGGATCTGCTGCTTTATGCCATGACGAGTCTCAAGTATGCAAAGTGCGTGTTTCCTCACGGGTCGTGGACGGATTTCACTAACGGCTCACAGACACAAAGTGGTTATCGAAAATGCTATCCAGGCGTGTCTATCGATCCATGCACTGTCGCCATCCATCGTCGCCAAGGCTCGGATCCTGCGTGCTCGTCTGCGGTTGGATGCAGGCTCGTTTATAGGCGCCCAAGAAGGTTTGTCGCAATGCTCATCCATCCGGAATAACACTCAGACGGTTTGCAGATCTGCACGCAGCCCTGCTCGCAGAACCCGATAATCCAGAAGCAACCGCTCTCCTCCACCAACGGTCTGTCGCCGTGGAGAAGGTGAGTACCCTCTCAGTTACGAACCAGAGTAATGACAAATATAACCCCAGCTTCTCGCTCCCACGGGGCATCGGATCTCTAATGAAGTCTGGCGCGAAATAGCGCTGTTTCTCCCCCGTCGTGATCTCAAAACACTGCTCTCGGTGCCCCATCCTCTCTCACGCGTCGCGTCGCAGCTTCTGTTCCGAAAAGTCGACCTCCACTTTGGCGACGGGGAGGGGGGCCAGCCATTCGACGAGGGGGAGAGCGCGGAAGAACGCGACAGAGACCAACGAACGGCCGACATCCTGACACGCGTGATTACGGACCCGTCGTTCGCGAGCGTGGTGCGCACGCTCCGGATCTTCGCAACGGTGAACAGCCACAACTCGTTCCAGACGGGGATCCTGTCGAATGCGCTGCCCAAGATGAGCAATCTGCGGCGGGTGCACATCTCGTCGAGCGCCGACGGGGTGCTGCCTGTGCTGAAGATCCTGCAGTCGTGTTCGCCCAAGCTGAACGGGCTGTCGCTGCATGTCCCGGACGGGCTGTTCGAGCTGAGCACCCTCACTCTCAACCATGTCGCCAACTTTGCTTATCACGGTGGTGGCAGTGCAAACGGCGGGGCGCAGAACCCGCATGCGTTCCTGGCGCAGCACCGGTCGACGCTGCGGACGCTGTCGCTGGAGAACCCGGCGTGGGTGTTCCCGGCGGACGCGCTGTCGCTCCGGAACCTGACGCACATCCACTTCCTCGGCCAGTTCCCGCTCAACAGCCAGGCCATCGCCACCATCCTCAACCACGGCAGGCAGCTCGAGTCGCTCTCCCTCACCTGCCTGCTCGACTGCGCGCCCTCGTCCCAGTTCCGCGCCGCCCACCGCGAGCTGCCCTTCCTGCGCCACTTTGCCTTTTCCGTCCAGGCGATGAACCGCCGCCTGACGGACCGCGACCTGTTCCCGTCCATCGCCGAGTTCCTGCGCGGCCGTGTCGACTTCCGCACGCTCTCCCTCCTCGTCCCCGCAGAGCCCATCCAAAAGGCCGTCGGCTTTGACGCCTCTGTCTGGGGCGTCCTCCCTAGTCTCACCGGCCTCAAGGGCCTCGGAATAACCTACCCCCGCGACCTCGCGCCCGGCCTCGCAGCCTGGCTCATCCCCCGCAGCGTCGTCAGCCTCACCCTCAACGGCATCATCGCCGCCATGCGCGATCTCCGCGTCGGCGTCCCCCCCGGTCTGCGCTTCATCGGCCTCGACACCAGCGGCATGGGCACCGGCGAGGTCGCCGGGATCGTCGAGCAGGGGTTCCCCATGGTGCGCGTCGTCCGCGTCGCATCGACATACTGGACCGTGCATCGGAAAAAGAACGGGAGGAAAGGCGAAGACGGCGGTTTCGAGCTCGAGAGGTGGCCCGTCAGGCGGGGCCGGTATCATGTCAGCGAGTGGCTCGAGTGGTTTGGCTGCGAGGACGCGTTGGGCGTCGAGGATATTTATGGTATCTGATTGTACTATACTTGTTGTATCATTGGGACTTGCGCCGTTAATCATAATCTATATCTGGATCCATGACGGCGTTTTTCCGGTTCATTGTGGCAATAGAATCATATTGATATCGTCAGGGTTCTAACGTCATCGATCTCCCGCGGCCAAGATGAGATGGTTGACACCTCGACTTACTGGCACATTCAGCGAGAAAATATCAAGATCATACGAATAGGATTGTATTTATTATTGACGTGGCAAATACAAGCACTTTATGCATTAGTGGTGTAATGGTTAACATGTGGTCTTCCCACCAGCATGGGCCGCGTTCGGGGTTCGATTCCCCGCTAATGCATCGCTGCTAGGTTACATTTTTGCCGATTTTGGTTGAAGAGCCCAAACTTGAAAGCTGCAGGGGTACACTGTTTTGTACCCACCCTTCCTGAGGGGTGAGTTGGCCACATTCCAGTTCACATGACCGTCGCGGGAAGATTTTTCCAAATCGCTACGCTGCCGCATCGTCATAGCTCAAATCTAATAAATTCTCTCCCGATACCCATCAGAACTCTCTGGCTATGTCTTCTTGCATCTTCAAATATATCCCAGTCTGTGATCTCTTCTCTGCAATTCAAAATTAGCCAGAACCCACCTAGTCCAGTCATTGCAGCGAGTACCGGAGACAGCGGGATTAACCACATGCAATCCCCCGGTAGACACGTACGTCAATGCGGCGGTGGCAACAGACGCAAGCGTGAATGCGCAGTGTAAACCCCACAGCGCAGCACGAAAATCGCGGCGATCATCGATTCATGTTTGAAATGCGAGTGTAAGAGAATCCTAGTACATTAGGGCCCGAGAAATAAATATATAAAGTAGGTATAACGAGGGGCTTTGCATGAATAAGCGAGGGGGGGGGGGCGAGAGGTCCATCCAACCGTCATTTTCCTTCAATTGCAACACGACATATCGAACAGAGACCCAAACAAAAGAAAAAAGGCAGACTAGAAGAGCACGCACAGGGCACCACCAAGGCCGGCGACCAGCGCTGCACCCATGCCCATGAGAGCTCTCCATTCCACCAGCGCCGGCAGCGCACCCGACACAGCCGCAAACGTCGTCACGAATCCCTGTGTCGGATTCGGCGATCCGCTCACCGTGACAGTAGCAGCGGCACTATCCGGCGTCGGAGTCGACCCAGACGTCGACGTAGCCGTGCTCGACGAGTTCAGGACGCTAAACCGGGGCGAGGTCGTGTACATCACCCCGTGTGTCGAGTTCAGGAACAGCAAAAAGTAGTCGTCCGCGGCGGGGATGTCTTCGAGGTATACGTTTAGTGACGACGGGGAGGCCTTGTCAGCAGGGACTGGGGGCGGAAACATGAGGGTCAGGGTTGGAGGGAGGGAAAACTGGGCTGGGGACGTACCAGTGCTGGCGATATACGTCAGCCCGTCCTCGCTGAGCCTCGTCAGCTCTACATCAAACGAATCGACGCCATCCAGCACGCCCTTCTCCCAGGATATCACATTCACAGCGCCGTTCCGCCATTGTGCGTTTTCAGCTGGCGCCGTCACCACAAAATACGCTATTATCAAAACGTCAGAAAAGCAATCCCCACAAGGCGAGCAGGACGACAGACGCACCAGAGGCAGCGGTAGCGACTACGAGGGGTATAGGCAAGACTTGTGATAACCGCATGTTTCGTTCGTTTGTTTGTTTTTCTCTCAAGTTGGGGCGTGGGTCGTATACGAAGAGTCGAGAGAAAACGGAAAATTCGTGAATGAAGGAACGACCGACGGGTGACTTGCGAGGCGGGCGCAGCAAGTGGGCGGGATGGAAGGGATGGGGGAGGCAAAAGAAAACAGGAGACAACGTGACAGGAATTGATTTACCCTCGGACACTTTATTTGGTTTTGTTTTCGTTTCAGGGGGCTAGAACTCCTAATCATCCTTGATGACGTCGATTTGGTATGCATCTACGTACGAGATAAACATCTGCCGCTCGACGTCGATGCGGAACTCGACATGGAAACAGGATTTTTGTGTGTTTTTCTGCTGGGTCTCTGTACGCTAGGTCATTTGGACGAAATGCACCCGCGGCGAGCTGAGACCGGTGAAACATAAGCCGGCGGCTGTTTTCTAACGGCCATATATTGGTACCGATATCACCTCTCGGTTAATCTTCTCATCGTCATCTAGCCACTCATCGTCATCTTCTGTTGTCACGTTCTTGACATCCATCTTCCCTTTGCAACAACCCCCCAGAGAAACCCAATTCCGAACACTCACCTTCTCTACCGTTTCCAGCTACTTCCCTTCCTCTCGGCCCTCTTAACCCTTCTCGTTTCAACAGTCTCCGAGTGTACCGCACCGTTACCCAAGGTTTCCCGATGACCTACGGTAGCTACTCCATCCGACTCGGAGTCGAGATGTAGTACGCTGTCTTTCTGCATGCCAACTTCCACAGCTCTTGTACAGCCGCGCAACTATCTTCACGACCACTCTCCCTACATAAACGTGATCCCCTACAGCATTACCCTTCGTCCCCTCAGGCTTCCGCAATCACTAACTCCAGAAAAACGTGTACAGTCGCCGGGGCACCGTAAGTGATAATGCCCAGGTCGACGGGCACGCACTTCGTATAATGGCCGTAACAATTCCTGCAGATCAAACCCACTCCAAGTATCGAGACTTTCGATACCCGCTTTTTGCTAGCCTATGTACGAATAAAACTAACGACTACTCCAAAGTTGTATGTAGTAGAGAATCGGTCACCTAGAGACCCGGAGCCGATCCAAGAAATAAGGCCCCGTAGCGAAATGGCACTGGTAGCAACACTCGAAACATTCCTGAAAAAATCAGTACCGACTAAACTTCTTTCTTAATTTGAAAACATAAAAAGCCTGTATCCCTGCTCGCGGGTTTTCTACATGTTTACAAGACCAAATACCACGGTTCCTTCGTATAGTGGCTATTACAGATCCCAGGGTTCGAATCCCTCTCGAAGCATAAGATGTCCGTAGTGTGCTTTTATTCCTGCTAGCCTACAGAATGCCGAAACTGACCTATTCGCTCTCCCCTTTTTGATCGAACAATGCTCAGCCCGGGTAGTATGTACGACTCCGATAGGACAAGGTATTACCATGCCAGTGATCGTTTTGCTAATGCTACTGATGTCAGAAGGACAACCAGAGCATTAGGGCGACTCTGGTCACACCGAGGATAAATCAATGACATTGGATGTGATTTGCCAAAATTTTTAGTAAGAGATCGAGCGTGTAGCCAAGAAATAGACGAATACCCCTCTTGAAGGTAGTAGCTAAGATGACTAGCGGAATTGCAGGAGAATTTCGTACCGACATAATATGATTCGTAACTTGAAAATATCAAAGTGAACATGAAAGTCAAGGACCCAGGCTTACGACTCTGACATCGAGCGCCAGTAGTACCAGCAGTAAACATCACAGCCCGCCAAGTCAACGCGAAACCTGATCACCTGATCGCAAGTCGGTCCGGATTACTTCCGAATCTTGCTTCCCCACTTCGAAGGACTCATTGCGGGTATTCAAGTGACCGCATCGAAGATAGGTGCTCTCTACACATCCCGTTGCCCTCTGCACTATTTTGTACTGTCGTCAATCAACGACGCCAATCCTTCATGCCGGGACAACGTCTTCTGTTCTCATTGGCATGTCCAATCATCCTAACAATCCTTGTTGCTCAGATATCCCTTATTCAAACAGACGCTAGGCGGCTAGCCAAAACATCCGAAGAAAAATACACACAAAGACGCTTCTTTCCTCTCACTCCGTCCAAAGACCACCACGCTCCTCGCATAACTCACATCGCAAAGCCTCCGCCCCGCATTCCACGCTCATCTTCCCAATTCATTCCCCCGGCCCCAAGACTACATAGCGGGGTTATCCAAACCTTTATTGTAGCCGCCACATTTAACCGGCTCTCTTTTCCTTCCTTGTCATGTTCAGTCCAAGGAGCACATGCGTCTGTATCATGTCTTGGCTGACCCTTTGCTATACCTCCTGGACCGTGGCCAGGCTGGTCATTCGCTATCCGCCACTGCCAAGATTCCTACATCCGACTGTTCTATCCATTGGACTAATCGAAATTCCAAGAGAACCAAAAAAAGCTTTTTTGGGAGGTGAACGCTAGTCTGGCCTCGCCCTAAGTCCTGGTATTATTCGCGGACCTCCTGACTCGTTCGTACTTCTCAGAGAGGCTCTACGAGATTCGAGTATTCACATCACCTCAAAGATTGGTCCTTGGGTGCGGAAAGGATTCCTCCTCAATGCTCGCGCTTGCCTCCGCCAGAATGTAAGACACCCTCAGTCCTCGCATAGACAAAATTACAACCCCCGCATATGGCCTCGTACGACGATGATCTCCCAATCGTCAATTTCCTTCATCCTACTTCTTTCTTCTGATCTCCCTGATACAGCACCCAGTTCTCGGATCCTACTGATAACGTTTGTTTCCCTCATAGGCGGTACCTCATCAACCGCAAATCATTCGACTTGATGACGTTCACCCCTTGCGTAGGATTTGCCCCAACCCCTCACATGCGTTATCATAATCATGATCATCAGCCCGCTGCAGGATAACATTAAAACGATATTTCTCCGCGTCTGCCCCACCCTCTAGCTCCGGTTCCGCTGGGTGAGGACACTTCCCTCTTTCCAGTAACCCTCAAACGGGTACGTACCCTTCCTCCTCCACTTCATTGGCCTATTCTCTATCCGATTTCTTTTCCTCAAAACCGGGCAGCCAGACCTCACAAACATACCCTCGTGGATCCATCAGAACCCATCGAAGCCGCACTCCGTCGACCACCCCGTGGGCAATCACAATATCCTATATTTATTTTCCCATGTCCTGCGCTCCATCGTATAAGGACGACCCCACATCGTACGACCTCAGTGCGGCGTCGACATGTCTTACCATCTTCCGTCTCTTGGAAAGACGCTCGGAGCCGTGTACATTGGCGCAATGCTCTCTTCCATGTGAGTTCTCTGCAAAACCGGCTACTACCTCGGCTGACACCGCTCTCATCGGCAGCTTACTCGGGATAACGGCTCTCCAAGCTGTTATATACTACAAGAAGTTTCCCCATGACCCGTGGTACTACAGATATTCCGTACGTTCTTGCCCTTCTCCCATTTAAACGTTAAATTGAGAATAACTAGGTCGCCGCGCTCTGGTCTGCAACCGTGCATAGTCTTGGGGTGTACGTTGATTTTTTCCTTCTCTAGGATGCTCGATATGCTCCACGTGGCTTTGAACACACACGCGATATATTTCTACCTCATCGACTCGTTCGGCGATTATCTTGCTCTGGATAGC